AAGTTTGGGTTGTAGTGGTCACTCAAGCCACTACAGCCCAACCAAGAAGGATAAAACTGCCATTTTTCAAAAATAGTCTATAGATTATTACAGCCACATGGCATTACTGCAGCACACAAACCAACCAAAGCTCTCAAAAGTATCTTATTTAAACAAAAAGACCCCATAGTCCAAGAAATAAAAACAGGCCTCATCTACAACATACTGTGTAAGGACTAGAACAGCCATTTGTGGGACAACAGCAGTAGACTATTGGAGCACATCCATGAAAAATTTAAAAGCACTCAGAAGGCATGATGAAAACTCCTTAATCTCACAGCACATGGACAGACTTGAACATAGTTTCAGCTGGGAAATTGAGCATCCCAGATCAAGCTAAATCCAAAAAGATTTAGGGAATTGCTGGAAACTTGGCATTCAGACAAATCAGCCATCAGTAGCTACAGAGATAAATCACATTTGCACATCATTCCAAAAAGGCAATAAAAAAGCTAAGAAGGAAACCAAAAGATAAGAACATATCCACTCCAGCAACCAACACCCAGATAAACAATGAAGGGGGGAAAAAACCTAATCAAGGAACCAAGGAGAAACCACACCTCCACCAACACTGTACATAAGCAAACTCCACACTCTGTACCACTGATGATGATGAGAGAGAGCCTATGCTTACATTATGGATTTTAATGTAAGCCACCTGAAGTCACCAGATGTGAGTTGGGTGACTATATACATTTGTTTAATAAATAAATAAAATAATAGCAACAATGATGCACTGGAAGATCTGCAAAAAATACAATTCCCTGCAAGCACGAACTGGTCGGACCATAAAATGGAGAAAGTAATAGAAAATGAAGAAGCTAAAGTACTCTGGGACTCTAGAATTCAAACCGATAGGCACTTAACAATTGTCGGTAAGAAAAAGTCTGGATAGTGGATGTGGCAGTACCTGGAGACAGCAGAATAGATGAGAAAGAGTGGAAAAGATAGCAAAACACAAAGACCTGCAAATAGAAATAGAACAACTGGCAAAAGAAAGCCAGTAGAAATAGGTGCCTTGGGTGCAGTCCCAAAACAACTGAAGCACCGCTTGAATACCATCGTCACTGACAAATTCACCATCAGTCAATTGCAAAAGGCACCTGTACTCAGAACAGATTTCATTCTGCACCAATACCTCTAAAACCTATCAAAGATCAATATCTGTCTATCCTAGATCCTTGGGAAGGACTTGATATGTAGATAAAAATCCTGTTTGGATATCTGGCTGACTGTGCGACGAACCATAATAACAACATGATTAATGATGATATTGTAAATGGTTTGATATTTAGTATGTGAATAAAATATTTCATAATAGGATTTAGCTGGTTAAGAATCACGAATCTATTGATTTCATTATCCATCTTTGAATATAGAGACAGTGATCTATTGATGGCTGAACATAATGATGACGTATTGTGGCTATATATTGAATTACAATATGCCATGTAATATAACATCAGTGAACTTAAAAAGCTTTTTTAAAAATGTTTGAATCTATGCAGAAATTAGATTTTATAATTTTAAAACAAGTCGCTAAGCACGTCATACAGGTTAAGATAGTTACATTTAGATTTTAATAAAAGCTTATCTTTTCATTTTTCTTTTTCCAAAGATATCCTAGGCAATCTTATAGAATTAAACCAAGAAATTAAAGTCATACTATCCTGTGTACAATTAATCTATTATCATTAGCAATAATACACAACTAGTATAGGTAGTTCTCGACTTACGACCACTCTTGTATTTGGACTCTCCATTGCTAAATGAAGCAGTTGTTAAGTGAGTCATGCCCAAATCTTACATCATTTTTTGCTGGGCTCGTTAAGCGAATCACCGTGATCGTTAATGAATCAGATGATTGCTTCCTCCATTGACGTTTGTTGGAAGCTAGCTTGGAAGGTTGCAAATAGCAGTCACATGACCCTGGGACACTGCAACCATCATAAATGCAAAATGTCCAAATGTTGATCATGTGACCAGGAGGATGCTGTGTGGGTCATTAGTGCAAGGATCACTGTAAGTCACTTTTTTCAGCATTTTTATAACTTCAGTCACTAAATGAATGAGTTGTGAGTTGAGGACTACCCACGTAATTTTCCTTTCAACTATGGAGTTTGTGTCTTTTTTGCTGTTCTTAAATTGAGATTAATACAACGAGCAGGGTTTTTTTAATTCTAGGAAGTGCTTTTGAACACTTCCCTTTGAAAGCCTTTTTTTCCTTGTCAAATCATGCAGTTTTTTCATGTTTCCAGCATATACATTGAGACAATTATCCATTGTTTAGTAATCATGCTGTAGATATATTTGGTAAAGATTTCCCTGTCCAGTCATGTCAGCTTTAAGTCATGGTGCTCATCTCTGTTTCTTGGCTGAGGGAACCAACATTTTCCAAAGACAACTTCCATAGTTATGTGGCCAGTATGGCTATATGTCAAAGGCGCACAGAATGCGCTTACCTTCCCACTGGAGTGCTACCTATTTAATCACATTTGCATGCTTTCGAACTGCTAGGTGGAGAAGGAACAAGAACTCATCCCCCCCCCCATGTGGTGCTTGGATCTCGAACCCGTGCTGTCAGCTTTCCAACTGACAAGTTCAGCGTCTTTAACCGCTGAGCCATTATGTTTCAAAATGATAAAAAATAATAAACATTTGTTTATGAACTTTTAATTAAAATTCCTCTGCATATAATTTATTACTATCTGTCCTTACCACTTTATTTTATTATTCTTTTTAGTATAATAAACTGAATGACCATTGCGTTTATTTCACTCACAAATATACACCTTTACTTTTTTACTTCTGAGACTGTATAAATTTCATAAAAGAATGAATTTTCCTTTATTATCCTTGAAAGATAATATTTTCCTTTAAACATTTTCATATTTGAAGATCAGTGGTCCTAATTATGATTACTTCTTAGCAGAGTTTTTTTTCCCTTAAAATTGTGAATTTATTTAGTATAGCATATAGATAAATAGGAGTGATAGAAATATAAGAGTTCAATTATGTGCAGTTTAAATTACAATATATAATCAGTTCATTATTTATGGAGGGTCAACCATTAATTCAGCGTCATACTTTCTATATATAAAAGAATGAATATAAAGTCACTATTTTAGCTAAGATCTGCAGTAATGATAACAAGTATTAAATAATTTATTATGTAATTTAAAATATTTTTGAAAGAAAAAAGATTATGTAAAATTATATATTTTCATGCCATGACCAAAAATCTATTACTTCCTTGATAAAACCATTAACTTACTATAACAAATTAGAAATATTTTGATATACAATTATGCTATATTTTATCTCATGGTACATTTTAAAGAGTATTATGAAAAGTGATTGCTTAAATAACAGGAATTTCATTGAAGTCATAAAATGTATTATTCTCCCCCCCAAAAAATGCATAACAAACTAAGGGAAATTGTTTTAACATTCCAGGAAGAGGCCCAATTTAAAACTTTCCTTTGATATATAGTACATCCTGCAATAGAATTTTTGAACATTTCCTAAAACAAAAGTTACTACCAGACAAGACTGATTTAATTCTGCTGCGAAATTACTTTCCTACATGTATTTGTTCATCAGAAACAGTGGCACACAAATATTTAATATATGCAGTATTATTATATATTATAATAGAGTGAGGACTCAGTGTGATTTAGTGATTTAACTCCCCCCCCCCCCCCAAGGAGACCAGAGAAACAGGAAAAGCAAGGGAAAATGGAATGGGATGGTTCGAAGTTCTTTTATTTTAGTTTTTTAAATTCCATGCTCTAATGTTTTACCTGAGATTCTTTTTATCACATTCAGTTAAAAATTTCTTCCTAGCCAAATAATATACCATTTAGATTTAGTGTAGGAAGCCAGCAACCGTGAAGTTCTCTTTATAAAGTCACAGTGCACCAACATTTACAAAATTTGTGCAAAACCCATTATAATCAGCAGATTTTTAAAACTAACTAAGAAATAAAAATGGATTTTCTGCTATATTTCAGGAAGGCACAGTGAGGCATAGCTGGATTCCTTTATAATAAAATGGTATGGTTCTGACGCAATATGATGAACTGATTTCATTTTTCAGACAAGAACAAAGATCATTTATTTCTTTATATTTTTTATACTGCTGAATTTCACCTGATTCTGAGCAATTCACAACAATATGACAACAACAGTTTTAAAAGATGCTGAAATATACCACAACAAGGGGGTGAGAAGTTTCTGATTCTAATCCGGGTTAATAAATTATTGTAAGCAACACCAATCACTCCAAGATGATTATTCTTAATACGTATTTGTTTTATTTAATAGATCTAAGCAGGTGTTTTTCTCTAAAGCACAAATTTAACATTCATATCTAATTCTTGAGCAGTATAGGTTAAAAAGTTTACAAAGTTACTATGCAATATTTAGATTAACAACTGAAGCATTGTTATTTTCTGGACCATATAAATATTAAAGCAGATTAGGAACACTAATACAGTAATTTTTTTAAAAAGTGGTAAAAATGTCATGACATTTTGGCACTGTAAAGTTTTTTTTAAAAAATATTTTAATTTGCAAAAATATATTTGGAGGTCAGTGAACATTGTGTACAGGTAATATCTTTGCAAACAGCAGACTGCCAGTCTCCACTTTAGACAACAAAAACATTGGGCTGAATCTGAATCTAATGTTTTTGTAAAGCCAAAAAAAATTAGCACAGAAATCTTTTAGGAAATTTAAGGGTTTATTACTATTAATGCCTTATTGTTACATTACATTTGCTTTAAAACAAGTTGCAACTAGAATACAATAGAAATTTCAAATTATATTAAACTTATGAAAGAAAATATACGGTACTTTAACTGTTTAACCTTTTCTGCAGTATTGCCATATTTCACAGATTTTAGGAAATATTTTCATAGAAAAATATTTATAAATATTTTTATTATATTCCTTATTAGGTTCAAGGTGCAGGTTTTCGGGGTTGGAAAGAAGTAACCTCCATATTTAATAAAGATGATGAACAACAATTATTAACAGGATGCAGATCTCCAAAATCTAAAGGGTATGTATATAATGGAGTGCAAAATGATACTAAATGTAAGAAGCTGTCTTATAATAAGTTTACTCAGATTATTAAAGCTAGAATCAAGGCAATACATCGGAAAAAGTAACAAAGATTCCAGAAAATTAGACAACATACAGTTAAATTCTGTACTGTTTTTCATAACAAAACATTCTCTTTAAAGATTTACATTGAATAGAAGCTGTGGTTGTTATAGATGACTTGTGGGGAAAAACTGGCATTATTCCCAATAATACAGCTAGAGCTGCCAATTCATAGAAATCAAAGGATTCGCAAGTTAATTAAATTTTTACTATTCTGGTTAATCTTATATTCACCCTTTTTGTCTTTAGCGATTTTTTAAAAGCTAGAGATATAAAAATAAATGCTTAAATGAGCTGAATATAGTCAGTGAGTGAAATTTGAACAATAAGAGGAAGATATTGGAAAAACCATCCTAAGCATCATCTTTCATCCAACGATAAAACAATGTGCATCTACTCCCAGACAATTAAATATCTTCCTTTTTCATATGCTTTCCAAATAAACTATTTATTATTATCCAGAACAAATATGAAACTTAAAGAAGATTTGAAATCAGAAAAGAAAAGTGGATTTTGGGACAGCTTGGTGATAAAACAGAACATCCATTCCAGGAAGCCCGATGAGATTGAAGGATGGGAACCTCCCCAGATTCCTGCCAGCGACCACCTCAATGATGCAGAAAATACTCTAAGTGACTCTTCATCTTGGTCAGGCTGGGAAGATGAAACCAAAGGCTCAACAAAGTACACAAACCTGGCAAGCTCAGGGAATAGTTCAAGGTGGAGTATTAAGTCAGCTGGAAGGTTGGTCAGCATTAGGCGACAAAGCAAAGGTAACCTTACAGATAACTGGGAAGAACTAGAATGATATAAAGGATTAGTTATGACAAAGTGTAGCATTTCAGCTTCAGTGTATTCCCTGTTTTTCTTCAAGAATAGCCAGTCTGAATCTGGGATGTGTGGGTGCATGCATTTCTAGAATACATCTAGAATACTATGAACTTGTTCCACAAATGCTAGCACCAACCGGAATAGTTGGATCCACCCAGTCCACAGGAAAAAGTGCAAGTTTTGTTCTGCATGTATCTGCAAAAGATGTGGAATGTTCTAAATATTGTTTTAAGTTAGATGAGTTATGTATGTACTTAAACCAAATCAAAACACTGCATCTTTTTACAGAACTGCATTATTCAAATTCTTTAATAGTTGACTCATTGGTTTCTTAGACCTCACTGAACGAAGTTCAACACCAACTTTGTGCCTACAATTTCCACATTCACACTGTATGTCACCTTGAGTTGCTCTTTAAAAACTGAAATGATTTATATACACTGGTTGAATAGTGAACGTGTTAATGTAAGATTTAGATTTCTTGAACTTCAGGTAAATTTTTTGAATGCTTTCCCTATTTTGTGAAAATGCTGGTTTGCAGCTGATACCTCATTGTTCCAGCTTTATATTGTTTTCTTGTTCTTGAGATGGACATTTTGACCTATCAAAATTCTGCATTATTCTAAAATACCAAATCAAATATGAAGCGCAAGAACACCAATGTTTTCCTTCTGTTGCAAACTTGCCACAGATGCATGTTTGCAACAGAAGAAAAACTATTTCTGCATATTAATGATTCTGCATATTGTGGTGTTGAACTATCATTCAGCTAAAGCAGAAGTGCAATCATCCCAAATCATATACTGCAAACACAACTCAGATGTCAGCCTAAGCACAAATTCTATCCTTACAAGTAGCTGGGTATAGTTTGACTCCACTTTGTAGCAAAAATAGAAGCAAGAACTCCTCATCTGTGCAAATATGGAAACTTTTCAGGTGGCTATTGCTACTCAGCTGAGTCATTGAATGTATTACCATCATTGCTGATAATAACGTTACATATTAAGAGGTATTTTTAGGCTGTTGTATTATTTAGAAAACTAAGAAATCAATCCTTTCGTACAGTCCAGCCTATAAGAAATGCTATCACTCAGTTTATGCACAATCCTTTTATAGATTAATTACTTTTCAATCTTTGTCCTTTTATACTTTGCCCACATGATCCTCTTTGTCTTTGCTGCTATGTAGGATTTAATTGGTTATGCTCTTTCTTTACATCCTCATGATGACAAACATTTTGTCTTGGCTACCTACAAATGCTTCCTTTAATTTGCTGTTACACAATTTATTTGCTAGCTGCTGCTAACACTATTACTGAAGAAGAAGAATCTTTCGTAGTGCAAAGAGAACAGAAGAAATGTACTCTTAACATTAATTTGGGGCTTCTTTCCCCAACAGGATATTTTTATATATACATTTATTGAAAATTGTCCCATGTATCTACTTAGCATGATAGAAGACACTGTACTTTTGTATGCATATGTGTCCCCATAAAAGAAGAAAGAGATGCAATGACTTTGAACAACTTTCTTCAAATCAATAAGAAAACATGTTAGATAAATGCTTTTTTGCATTCTTCATTATAAGCATTTTTCCAGTCTTCTGACTGCTCCATGTATGAAGTTCCCTCAAAGATTAAACTTGCTAAAAATTATTTTACATAAAATATGTCCTTGTGAAGGGAATCCAATAATTTTGAATTGGAGAAGATAGTTACAGTTAAATGAGAAGCTACCAAAGAGCCACTGCTCAGCTAACGGCTAGTACTACTGATTTCAAAAATGAAGAAAATATTAAAAGTGCCTTGAATTATAATAGTTTGCTATAGAAATGTTTGGTTAGAGAAATTTACTGTTTTTGTTTTTCTCATCCTTAAAAAACTTTGATTATTTTTTGATTTCAGGTTCTGTAAAATGAGTATCTAATTGAGGATGGTAGCATATTTCTTGCCTCTTACTTACCAATCCTTACTTGAAACTGATATTGAGCATGCATGCCACTGGTCATTATAGAGTGATCTGTTTAGCAATATAGAAACTAAAAATCTATGTTCAAAATTTCTTTTTAAGAATCAGGTTTTTTAACAGGACTGTTTTATAACTATGCAGAACATTTCCAAGGTATAATTCCTCCCTACAGGTAAAAGCTTCAGATTATATAAAAAAAATAAAATATCACAGATAAAAATTATGGCTACAATCCAGAGATACAATATCTCTCAGTCATACACCAAGATTTTATAGCCTTCCTCCACCATGTCAGTGCTGTCTTATGTCTTTGAGCATTTTTCCTTGCTGCTCTATGGCACTTTGAGATGCCCTTATGCCAAGCAGTATCTTATGATCACATGACTTGCATGCAGATGGAAAAAAATTGGTGGACTGGGCTGCTACAACCAGCCTGAGTCTTGAAAGTGGGCTATTAACACACCATTATTTTTTTTTTGCTTTTTTTCCCCTACTGACAGATGTATTTCAAGCTAATAGCATCTGCCCTATGTTGAAGAAAGATAGGCAACTTTTTTTTTTCAAACACCAGATTGTAAAATTGTAGCCTAAACATAGTTGCTATGGAGGAATAGGATTTTATAATAGCATTATAGCTGAACTAATAATTTTGAATAAGCTTTGTTTGGGCAAATTAAAACAGAGTATTTAAACCACTGAGAATGAAAGTATATTAAGACCCCTTTCAAGTTCAGAGAAAATTTTACAAATATGTGTATTCTGTTGAAAGTGATTTACTACCTGACTATATCTAGTATGTGCCCTAATTTCTTTAAATTAATTGAAAGTAATTCCAGAATATAGCCATTTTCTTTATGCAAAGACCTCTTTGGTTTACAGTTTATGGAAGATAACCATACAAAAGAAGAAAAGTATGTTGGCATTGAGATCTGACATAGAAACAAATCCAGGAGTGAAACTTTAAGAGTCAAATATGTATTCTTACCATTTATGGAAACTTTTTTATACTGTAACAGATAGAAGTTCTACCTTGCATATTATACCTGTCAAGTGCCTGTATTTCACCTTGATGTCATTTCTGTGATTTCTAGCTTAATTCCATGTATTATATTCACATGTTTGTCCTATATTTATATAGACAATGATGGGTAGATTTACAAAGCTAAATCCTATAGTAAAACAAATTCGATCATCTGCATCCTATGTGTTGGCTTAAGCTGTTGCAGTATTAGTAACGAGTTGTGATGATGAAGTTCATCTACCTGAGAAGCGGAACTGATATGGATGGTTTGGCCCCACTGTTGCAAAAGCTGTTCTGTTCATTGGCCCCAATTGTGATTGGCAGTCCTTTAATACAGCCTTCACAAAACCCACAGACCACAAGTCATTCCTCTCTGACACGCACTGCAAATTATACATGGAGTGATGTCTTGCCATAGGAATTCTAAAATGCTATCAGTTGCTATGCTGAATCCTTTTGTGTGCAATAATGTGCAATATGGTATATTTGGTCTTAATGCTGGATCTCATGTGCTCTGGAAGTAGGAAAAAGGTCCAAAGATCAGGCCTAAAGTAAGAATTAGAGATATATAAGGTATTGCCTAGGAGATTAAAGCTATGGAACTTGTTTTATAAACAAGCACAGAATCTATCAAAAGTTGCACACTGTTAACATTAGTTTCTGTATGTTTAATGTCATCAAAATTCATGGGATATAAGTGTCCTTTACTTTGACTGGCTTATGTCCATGTTTTCTTAGAGCAGAACTACTTAATTCTTAAAGGCAATGATTAAATTTTAATATAATTTATTGATATGCTTTTGTAGATTTTTAAAATATAATTTTCTTGTGAATATTTGCTTGACAACTTATTTGCATTTTTCATGTATCAGTACTTTGATACGTCAGCCTTCCTTTAAACAATACATATCTTTTTTCTTTTTGTAACTATTTGATTTTAAAAACATATGGCTTGAAAGTTGCACAAATGTAATGATTCGTTTGTTCATGTTGCCTTTTCACTACATCTATGCATAATTCTTGGCTTGAAGTCAATGAAGATGAAATGCTTTATGTGACTTTAATTAGTCACTTAATGGTCATGTTTCCTTTTCTGTATTTTATTAGTTTCACTTAAAAAATAGTATTTTCACAGATGAATAAAAACTTAATTAAAATCAAACTTATATTTTTTTATTTAATTCAATTGATCATATGTTCCAAAGATTGTAGACGTAGAATATAGCTATTATTTACTGTACTTCTAAAGCAAGGGTGTCAAACTTGCAACGTCACATGACGTTTCACGACTTTTTTTCCATTGCTAGCAATGGGGTGGGTGTGGTTTTGGCATGATGCATCTGGTCCACGGGCCGGCAGTTTGACACCCCTTTTTTAAGGGATTTGCATCCCTATGTTTGCCACACTTGTATAAGTGCCATTGATTAATTTACTTTGATTTTATTACAGGCAGCATCCTATGCATAGATCCTTAGCTTAGACATTTTCTTCTAAAAACCAATAAAAATCTGCTTATTTTTTATATTTGTATCCCACACCTTTAGGGCAACAAGTCAGTAAAAATGCAATGCCTAATAAAACTAAATAGCCCACAAAATAATTCAGAATAACATTAAAAAATCAAAAGCATAGTAAAAGTTATTACAAGAGTCAAGCCTCTGCAAAAAGAAAGGCTTTTTTGAGGGATCCTATGAAAGATTTGCAAGAAACAACCAAGCTGTCCTCCTTTATTGAAATCTCTGTATCCTTACTGCATTGAAAATTTCAGGAAAGAAAACAACTGAAGGAAGATGGGTTTAAATCTAACACATGAGATTTAAAACTATTTACTAACTTGAAATACATTTTAAACTGATTATCTGTACAATATTCACTTACTTTTGGACTTGTTGTTCCAGAGCTTGAGTGAGGTCACTGAGAATGACCTTTCTAGCAGATTTATAGCAGTAGGCAGGCTGATAAAGTAGTAGGTATATTATTCCAGTAATGTCACGGGAGGCAAAAACATTCTATCATATTTACCCCACAACTCTCTTTTAGCAAAGGCCCTTTTCAATATTAATTACATATTCATCTTAACAGTTTCTACCCATTTTATTGGCAGCTGTAGTTAGCCTCAAAGGAATTGATGATATATAGACTCCTAATGCTGTAGTATTTGCTTGTTTACTAATCAGATCTTGTGATGCATGAGGGACAGTATAAAATAGCAAAGCAACAATTTGACCATTGTGATTGCAATTTGAAATTCTAAACAAATTATGACAAATCTAAGCAAAAATCAATACTCTTAATTTATAAGCAATCTAGGCACATCCAAATAGTGTTAAGTATAAACAGCATCATGCAGCTATTCTGTCTTTTTCTAAACATGTATTTTCCGGTAAAGAAAAAAGACAATGCAGTGAGAAAACTCAAAAATATTTATACGTTGAAAAGAGTGTTGTTTTGACCTTTTCTGTGAACTGAAAATTCTCAGAAAAGCCTCATTTGAAAGCATTCAAAATCTCTTATTCTTCTAAGTCCAGTAAATCAGCTCACATACTGTGAATCATGGGCAGTCGACTATTGCAATGATCTTGGAAGACTGGACAAAAAAAGGCTGCAAGGGAACAGTCAAGACAGCGTAGATAGCAGGTGGGGCAATGACTCAGAAGAGACCCTCCCTAGCTTCTCAGGTTGCAAAGGAGATGGGTGGAAAAGATTCTACTTTCAGACTTGCAAGATTCTGTCAGTGTGGCTTTACATTACATTAAAGTAGAATTAGCTTATCTGCTTGTGATTTCCTATCTGGTTTATCCAGTGCTTTTTTTTCTTAAAAAAAAAAAAAAAGGTGCCGGAACTCACACATGTCATACAACCCGCCTTGCCTACCCTACAAGGTTCCATCCAAAAAAGGTGCCAGAACTCCGTTCTGGGCATTCTATGAGAAAAAAAGCCCTGGGTTTATCCATAAGGGCCAACACCTGCAGAACGATGACAGAAAATTTTGTTGCAAAAACCTGTTAATTATATATATAATTAGAGTTGAGATATTCACCAACTTGAGTCATTTTCTTGGCAAAAGCACGAGAGTGATTTGTCATTGCTTATTTAAGAGTATTTTTAGAATTTCTTATCTAGGATAAACCTAGGATTCTTTGGTGATCTCCCATCCAAATACTAAGCGTGACGGTTGCTGCTTAGGATGGTTTTTGTTTTTTTGTTTTGGATAGTATTACACAAGATCAGCAAGGTCCCATCACATCAATTAAGTACTATCACAAGTAGGCATTGCCATGCCTATGATTAAACTAGATAATTGTTTAATAAACTTCATATAGTTGCTGTTTTATTGCAGTTTTTAGAACAAAAGCTTATTCCAGAATACAGATGTGTGAATAAGAAGTGACAGGTATGCTGTTGCATATACATATACACATGCATACATAGATACACAAGTGCATTCTTTAGTTTACTCAGGTGATGCCAATTTTTGTTTTTAGATCTGAAGCAAAATATGAAAAAGTTGCTGCATGTTTAGAACAGGACATGAGCCATGATTAACCTTTAGTTTTTTATTTCAATTGGTATACTCTCTAGACATAACTACTCTAACATGTTCTTCCTAAACTTCATAAAATTTATTGGAAAAAGTCAGTACATAAGTTTCATACTGGAACCTTGGAGTATGTGTTTGTTGTGGTTGTAATGCTTTTTTAAAAAAAAAAAGTTTGGGTGAACTATTTTCTGAGAAATGGTTGCAACCACTTCACACAATTGTGAGTGTACTTTTTAAAACTGCCTTTCATTGCAAAATGTAAATGAATAGAGGCATGTGGCATATTTCAGGATTAAGCATACTGGGAAAATTCACTTAAGAAAACAATGGCTATGTAAATATGTAATAGTGAAACAATGTTAGTAAACAATACTTCTTTGTTTTCTGTTTTCAGTGAATAATCATAACACATATTTAAACAAAGACACTCAAAATGTTCTTCAATATCTTTATTTGCAGATGCACACTATTGCTCAAAAACCTTGTTTTTCTTTTCTTTCCCCACCTTTTCCCTGTTGTGAATTCTGTTTAAAAAATAAGCAGCAGACTCAACCATAAATTGGCAACAAAGCAAATGATAGCGACAAACTAAAGGAAAAGAAATCAAGCTTTACTTCCCATTAGGAAGTAAACTATTGTCTCAGAAGATCTATGGGTTGACTTCCTTCAAAATGAAGAAGGCCCATAAAAACATACAGCAGATTGTATTATTTTTGTACTAGCATAACTGACTGGTAAAAGAAAACATTTCTGATATATATTTTTTTAAAAAATGTAAAAACTGTTTAGGCTCTCTGGCATGATCAAACGGCATCTTTTTGTAAATTAGAGGTCCTTCTATCTCCAGCTGTACCTTGGATTCTGGCCAGGGTCAGTATCAGGTGGTATATAATATTTCCTTGCACATTTTTTTATGAGTGTGCCCTTGAGTTTTAAAAAGGTGACAGACATTGTTCTACCAAGTCAGAAAAAAGATTAATAAACATTCCCATTTCCTGAGTGGCCAATCAGATGCTTACAGGGATTTTTAAACACGATAGTCTGCTTCACTAGACCCAGCTGCTCAACCAAACAGTCCTCAATATTTCCACTATTACAGCTCAGAAGATGATTATAAGCTTATTTAATATATCTATCTATAAACCTGCCCATCTCAAAATTGCAACTTTGGGGAGTGAACATGGCATTAGAAACCATCATCATCAGTAATACAATAATGTCATTTCACCCAAGGGCAGTCTAACTCAGACTATACAGGCATGTCGGGGGGGGGGGATGGACTGCTTTGACAAGCTTATGCAACCTGCACACCCCATGCCAGGGGAGCATCTGAGTCTTTAAGAACTTATAAAATGCCAAGCAGAATTGGAGCCAAATGAATCTCAGTGGATATTATATTCCAAAGGGAAACCGCTGTGGCCAAAATATCTCACTTTTTGCATCTCATTAATTGGCAGCGCTTAATAGATTGGGTCTGGAACATCCCCAGTGTATCAGTTGTAGTGAGGCAGGCAAAAACAATTAGAAAAAAGGTGGCCCCAGATTTAACCAGGCTACATGCCATGCAGGGTTTTATAGGTAGCATCCACACCCAGTTGTCCACTGGAATCAGCGTCCCTGAGCTGGTCCAGAGAATATCATGACTACTGGTATTGAAAGCTACTGAGAGATCAAGGAAAACAAAAAGGAAGAATGCAACGTGCCATGCCACTCCCACTTGCCCAGATTTTTCCACAAGTCCAATCAGTGCCATTTGGTCCCATATTCTGTCCTGAAGCTTGTCTGAAAAGTGTCCGAAAATCCTCCCAAGACTCTTTGCAATGCAACCAATATGAATCAGCATGGCAAAACACGAACACGGTGCCACTGTGAGACTACATTTTTGATCTCTTGTTATTTTATGTAAAAGGGATTCGTTAACACAATGAAGAAGAGCGAGGAAAAAAACAAAAGATACCCTGAGTCACTTCATCGGTGAGGTGGGCAGCATCTAAATTTAATAAATGAAAATAAAAAAGCTTTGTTGCATCTTCTTTAGCAGGCTTGGTGTCACTGCCACCTTCTGTCTCCTGCATAACTCAACCCACCTTCACAAGTTAGGAGCGCAAAAAACCATTCTCATTCACTATCCACAAGAGTAGAAGGCTGCAGGTTTAATCTGTCTACCACAGCAGGGATAGAAAATGGATTGTCAGTTGGTGTCCTCTCTCCAGATCCATTTTTGGAATTTCTGATAAACCCAAAATGTAGGGGAAAATGTTAGTTCTTGGTGATGCATTTTTCCCCATGTTTATTTCATTAAAATAAAAAAGATAAACTCTCTGCTTGTCTTAGTTCCTTTCACCAAAACCTCCAATCCGTGAACAGCAAGCCAAATATTTTATTCCTCCAGCGTTCATTGCAGCTCTCTGAGCTGATTTTCAAACCAAATAAACCCTAGCTCCTCGGGCTCTCCTCAGTTAACGGATAATGGTGTGACATGCTTGCTTTCATCTTGATTTTAAATTGTATTTAACCAAGTATCTGAAATTGCAAGGAATTAATTTCAAGCAGGAATAAACAGGAATGCGATGCCATCAGTCAGACAAGCCAAGGCTGACCTAAAATGGGAAAGATCAAGAGGCTGGGAAGTTTTCTTGACAAAAAGACTTCCAGGATGCAGAAGTGTGGGGAGGGGCTACCCAACTGCTGAGGCCGTTTTTTACCAAATAAGCCCCTGAAGTTTTAGAAACCACTTGATCTGAGAAACAGTGCTTAAACCACTTACCTTTGATGAAGTTGACACACAGAGACTTTTTCATAACGTTATATAAACTTGTGCTTTGTGGAAAGCCCTAAAAGCTTGCCTTTTTTGTTGGAGCGCTCTGCAATAGTGATTTCATGTCATTAGCCCAGTATTTTCACCCTTTTCTTCAAGGGCATAGCTTATGCTGCAGTGACCAGACTTGTCACTTTAAAATATACATGCAAGGCACTCAGTTCAAGCAAATACAGTAGTTTTTGTTAAGGCTGCCAAGCTGAGAATGCCTAAAGATTACAATTTATATAAGATAAGCCATGATGTAGTTGGATGATTGGAATTGTCAGTTTCGGTTCTTGACCAAGTTTGGTATTCCTTTCCCTCTAAGGTCAATCTAAACCAAAATGTGAGTATGTATGTATGCATGTGGTGTATATATTTAACATAGCTGCCCATCTCACAGATGTCAGTATGGGTAGCACACACATAGAAAAATAAACTATCCAAACAAAACCATGAAAAACAAAGAAGTAACCCATCTCTTAAGCCTGGCAAACATTTGTAATTGGGTATAAGGAACAGGATTAGAAAAAGGAAGTTGCCTCTCTTCTTTCAGGCAACTTTAAATTGAACAACTGAAGCCCCATGTTTGAACAACACGGATCAAATCCTGATGTATGCTCATATTTCAACATCCTCAGTTGTGGGAGGAATTGGGGAGACCTAGGCTCCTAGGACCATTCAGACCACAGCCCTGTTGCATCAAATGCATTCATCGTCATCAGCACAATTTATTGTCTGTTGCACCTGTGACTACGCACTTACAAAAAGAAGAAGAAACAAAAGAGTTGACGTATCACCACCATCTAAGCTCCATAGATTCTGCGTTTTTGCAATGAGACAACTTTGAAGGGTTTTGCAGAAAACAGACTCTCAAATTTTGTCTTAACCAATTGGTAAGCTCGCTGCACAACCATGTGATGATGTAGAAATTTAAGATAGGATGCAACATGAAAACTATCGCTCATGTTTTTCACTGGAATATAAATTGGTAGCAACTGATATTCCAGCAAAAGATCCTCATCAGATGAAAATCAGCATGGTGTGAATTTTTGCCTACATAATGCAACTTTTTTCCTTGTGCCACTTTAAACCTCCTTCAGAGCATCCTCACCTCAACCCTGAGGAAGGGCCACATATGGCTTCAAGTGAAAAAGAAGCTATTGTCATTTCACTTATTCTGACAGATAGATTTGGTTAGATTCTTTTCATTGTCTCTTGGGAAAGTATATTAAAACTTGGTCCTACCTCAAGTATGGGCTTATTTCTATTTTTTGAAACTTTTTCCCTGAGGAAATGTGAATTTTGTGCAAAATTATATAAAAGATATTATAACTTAGATGCAGATATATATATTAAGTCTCCCAATGCTTTAAAAAAGAGATCTGATGGGGATAATCTAAATAAAGAACAAGTTACAACTTACCCTAAGGATAGTTTACCTTAACAGACTTACTATACTGGTTTTATTTAAATTCTCAGTGTGCGGTTTTGGGGGAGACACAGGGGACATGGTTGTGTATGTAAATGAGGGCACAAGTACTTAGGAGAACCTCCATTTCTGATCTCTCCAGGCTTGATCCAACTTTAGATGAGCTATTGGAGATGATGATAAGGAGAAAGAGTGACCATGTGGGTGATTATTGGTTCCTTCCAGCAATGCTATTCCACCAAGAATCAAAAATAACATATATTTTTCTTAATAGAAAAAGAGCAACATTTTTTCAATCTCTGGGAAACCATTCTTTCTTGAAATTTGATACAAACATGATGTTGGCTGCTATCCCATAGGGCTACTATAACAACATATTAATATGAATTGCTAGGCTAAAGTACTGGAACTGTTAATCACACCTGATCATAAAAACTAGTGGTAGGCTTTCTCCATAGCTTATAGCTACATATATCAATATAAATATAGGTGTAGCATTAGAATCCATGTTTATAAGTAGAGAATGCTAAAACCAGGAATATGTAATGTTCTTAACATAAAGAACTCCACACTCTAGTTAGAAGATGAAATGATTTATTTGGGTAGAAACTTGGATTTAATACATATGGTGGTACATAACATAAATCCTGTGTTTATCTATATATTGTCTTACATGGAAATGATGATTTAAGAGTTTCTGAACACTGGAAGCTCTTGCAAATTTGCCTTTCGCTTCTACCAGTTCCATTCCCAGAGTAGCGTGGAGAGCATTCAGATTATCTTCCACTTCTGAGAAGCTAGCCAAGATGTTCATAGCAAAACTTCAACAGCGCTGCTTCAAATGAAGTCCCATTCTCTCTCAAAGCCCAGCCACATCTATTTTGCTCAAAGCAGTTAAGACTTGAGGAGACATCAATGAGAAGACATAAACCTCTCACTCAACACAATTCATTGGATTGCATCTAGAAAACAATATCTTGGCTCAGCAGCCAGGATACCAACAGCTCACATTATTTAGGACACAGAGAGATGGGACAGAATTAATATAACATATTTTAAGAAAATAAATATTGTGCTGAATGTATTTACAATATGGAATTACGGGCTTTCCTGCACAACTGGAATACAGAACATTTTGCCCATGGGTGATGCTCACAATCAACATGATATATACATAGAAACCCTAAGAGTATCCTCTGAATATTTACAGGATGTACCAACTGGGTATATTTAGAATTGGGCAAGTAAGAAGAAACTCATCAGTTTCTTCACTTCAGTAACAAGTGAACTCCAAACATCTCACTGAAACTCAAAGAAAACATTAGCGTGTTGCTGGATATCAGCCAGATAGCCCAATTCCAATTATTACTTTCACAGAAACCTATCTCTTTCTGGTATATCTTCCCTTACTAAGTGAATTGTCTTTTCTTCCTCCTCAGAAATTGAAGGTTTTAATGGACGTTCCAGCAATGTTCTATTTGACCTGATTACACCCAGATTTTAACTTGAAACATAACAGGAAATATATTGCACACACACAAAACCCCCCTTCACGTACTGCATGTGGCTGCAAAACGTTTAGAAAAAACACCTCAGCCCCTGCCCTGGATTGCAGTTAAAATTTGAAGAGGTCTATGAAGTGCTGAGGAGATACTGGTGTGAAGCAACCGGTGGGATCATTGGCTGTGCAAGGATGACCTGTGTCCTAAGGAAAGGAAAAACAACTGTTATTCTTGTTATGGACTAGAAAATTGCTGGCCACCAAGTGGGACTTTGTACAGGAAGCAGCACTGAGACAAAGGAACATCTGGGTCAAAGTCTCTTGCTTCTATTTTTAAATCAGAACTGAGGCTGGATCAAAACATCTCTTGCTCTAAGGCCCCACAAACAATTCTAGAGTTCAGGAATGCACAGTTTGTAACTCAAGTCACAACTTAAACCCATACGGACTTGCCAAAAGTTTTTATTTCAGTATGAAACAAGAGGGAGAGATTGTTAATGCACTGGCATTTATTCTTAGCCTGTCGGCTACAGTAAATATTTACTTGAAATATATGGAAATAATTGTTTTGCATGTATTTAAGTAAAATCACATGGGTCCTTTGTTCAGTCTCACTCTGAAAATCTTCCAATGTACTATTCAAAGGCCAAGCATAACTGTTGGCTGAAAAAAAGTTGATTTCATCTCTCCCAGAAAGATTTTGGGATATAGAGGTAGTCCTCAACTTACAACCATTTGTTTAAAGACAGAAATTACAATGGCCTCAGAAAAAGTGACTCACAACCTGTCCTTGAAGTTAACAACCATCAACTACTCCTGTGGTCATGTGATCACAACTCAGGCATTTATCCCTGGTTCCTTAATCAATTCAGGCCTTTACCCCTGGCTGCAGCGTCCTGCGAGCAAAGCGTACTTCCAACAAACAAAGTCAATTGGGGAAGCCAGATTTATTTATTTACTTATTTATATCCCACCTTTATTATTTTTATAAACAATTCAAGGCAGTGAACATACCTAATGCTCCTTTTTCCTTCTATTTTCCTCACCACAAAAACCTGTGAGGTGAGTTGGACTGAGAAAGAGTGACTGGCCCAAAGTCACCCAGCTGGCTTTCATACCTAAAACCGGAGTTGAACTCACAATCTCCTGCTTTCCAACCTGGTGCTTTATAACCACTAGACCAAACTCGGATTCGCTTAAGGATCATGTGATTTGCTTAACAATTGTAGTAAAAATTATCATAAAATCAAATCCAGTCCCTTGGTGACCTGCTGAATGACTATGTCACTTAGCAGCTGAAATTCCGGTCCCAAATCCTAAATAGAGGACTACCCTGTACTTTAGCTTTATTCAATCTGGTACTCTCAAATGACACTGTAGATTTTAAAATCTACAAATATGTCCACAATGACAAAAGATTCTAGAACGCTCAGTCTCAGCACCCTTGGAGTGTTCCAGATAAGGAAACCAGCTGCAGATTGGGGAAAGTCATAGCCGGGATTGTCTATATCGGTTAACAGCAAATCTTGGGTTCTAGACTAGGTTCTTTCACAGCTATACCTGGAAATGCTAAAATCTGCTCTTGGTGCCCATTATGGCCAAAGCAGGCGCTTTACTATTCTTTCCAAATAATTCCTGTATATTTTGTAGCACATTTTTTCCTTCAAGCAGATGAAGCCAAGAGTTAGGTATATGCTTGCATACAATTCCAGTTCTTTCAGAGAAGTTTCTAAGACTTAGTGTAGCTTTCCCTAACTTGGCACTTTTCCAGGACCCTGGGACTACAATTCCCAGACTCCTGGCTATGCTAGCTTGGAATTGTCAAGCTCAAAGCCATTGCCTCTAAGGACCCCAAGTTGAAGAATAATGCCAGGGCATTGTCACTTGGCTTAAGAGCTTTCAAAAGGCTCATCGTATAAAATGCATCTGTGATACTGGGCTCATATAACATGATCAATAATTAACTAATTTGCTTATGTTTTAGGTTTGTGGAACAAACCTAGCCATTTGCATGTAAAGTATGATTTATGCCGTAAACAAAATCTGGAAGCTTAATCACCTAACACTAGTTACTTTGAAATGGAGTACTATGCTACACAGGAAAACCTTAGAATTTCTACTTGCAATGCTGTCTTCAAATGAAGCCCTTAAAAATTAAAAAAAAAAAATAGTCTCACACTGAAAGATTATTGCTTTCCATTTCCTTAACTATCGCAGAACAATATATTTCCCACCATGCTTAGATTTTCAAAGCTCTTTATTCATTCAGAACAAATGCATATAGCTACCAGGTCATTTTTTAAAAAGTCATCTTGTGATGCATATCTCTGCACAGATCTGTTTTGATAAATGGCTGAGGTTGACGGCAGTGTAAGAATCCTTTTTAACTCTTGCCCTCCTTGTTTCTTTCATTTTCTACAACTCTGCTATTGTTTTACAATAGTCGCCTCTAGCAAGTAATGCAACTTTGCAAGGAGAATAAAAACCAACAGGATATGTGTTTCTACAATTCCAATGAAAGAAAATTGTTCCTTAGGTTTCCAGTTAATTAAGTATTGGGTCTCCTGCTCAAGCAGGAGGTTGGACCAACTCTATTATTCTATATTCTCAGTTGAAGGCATGGTGGTTTCATAGTCTTTGTTCCTTTTTGCCCCAAATTAATTATTAGGAATAGGAAATGTCCCGTTTCTATCCATGAAAACTTAGCTCATTAGCTAAAAAGAGAAACAAAAGCATTTATCAAAATATTTAGAAAAAAAAAAAGATTGACTTTTGCCACCCAGGCTTGACACAATAATTGCTGAAGGGCTACATTTTATACAATGGAATAGAATATATTTTTATTCAATGTGGAACACTTTTAAAAATCAATGGTGGTGGTGGATTTTTTTTTTTTTTTTTTAGAAATAAGAGGGAAAAAAGTTTTAATGGGGCAAACGGATGAAAAGAATCCTTTGAAAGCTCATCTCATAACGGAAGAATTGTCCTGTGTTTTGTATCCTTCATCTCAAGAGGCTTCATTAACTGCTGTTGCGAAGATTTGTAGCAATGTGCCAGTGTAAAGTATTTCTTATTGAATTATCGTTCTATAGAGTTAATCTCCATCTAGTACTGGGATCAAACTTACACATGAACAATAATGTAATCTTTCCATCTCTCTGTCATAACACAAAGCCTTTTCTATCAAGATCCTCAACTTTGGGGGCTGATGGATGAATCTGGAACTTTAACAGCATGCTGCTGGAAAACGCTGTGAAGAATGAATTTCCCCATTAGAAAAAATAATAGCAGCCTTGCTGGTTCAGAACACAGACCCATCTAACTTTCTCTTAGATTGTTAATATTCTGCTCATCTAGTGCAGGTAATCTTTGACTTACAAGCGCAACTGAGCCCAAAATTTCCACTGCTAAGCAAGACAGTTGTTAAGTGAGTTTTGCCCCATTTTACGACCTTTATTGGAACAATTGTTAAGTGAATCACTGCAGTTGTTAAGATTATAACACGGTTATTAAGTGAACCTGGTTTCCCCATTGGCTTTGCTTGTCAGAAAGTCACAAAAGGTGATTTCATGACTCCGGGACACTGCAATGGTCAAAATAAATGACATTTGCCAAGAGTCTGAATTCTGATCACATGACCACGAGGAAGCTATAACTTCAAACGATTACTAAGTGAATGGTTGTAAGTTGAGAACTATCTGTATTCTATGACTCATAGTGACCAACTGGAAATACAGTATTTGGAAAACTCCCGAGCTCAGACTGTAGGATAATAGTTCATTTCTCCCATCAACAAGCATCAATAGTATTGATTTAGGAGTAGAAAAATCAGCATCAGTACTTGTTGATAACTTCACTGGTTCAGTCTGCTTTTAAAATGAAATAAACCGGCTCCAGGAAATTTCATAGCTTCATTACGTGTTTTATCAGAAGCAATTTTTCTTCTCTCAAGCTGGGCATTTAATTCCAATAAATGTTACCTCATCTAATACAATGAGGGGGAGAAAGCTTTTTGTTATACTATCCCTGTGATTTAAAGTTATACACCCCTAATCAGTTCTCCCCTTCCGTGTTCTACGGTAAAATGGCCCAATTTTTATCTGGTAAAGGAGATACTCTAGCCACATAATCCCTTTGGTGGCCTTTCCATGCCGTTTCTAGTTTTGTAGTTTTCTTTTCAAAAGCTGTATGCAATCCTCCAAGTGAAGCCTCACCTGAGAAACGTTTCAGGCATTTCAACATCAGCAGTTTTATTTCCAATCCTCCTAACCATGCCCAGCAAGGTTTTTGCTTTGTTTACAACCATTGCTAACGGGTTGACATATTCATCAAATTGTTCACTATGATTCCAAGATTCCATTCCTAATCCATCAATCACTGCTATGACAGTAACCAGTGATCAATTTTTCTGGGCCGGCTTGCATTATTTTGCATGTTTGCACAGAATAATTTTTACCATTCTGAGGTTGCCCAAGTTGGAGAGATCCTTCTGGAATTCTTCATAATCTTTTCTTGATTTTCCCATCCTGAACATCAAACATGGGGATGTCCTACTCAGCCCTAACCCTAAATCATCTGTGTACACACTGAAGCATTAGTCTCATACATCCCTGGCGGGCACCACCTTCCACATCTTGTCAATGGGAGGATTTTCCATTTATTCCTACTCTGCTTGTTTTAATCGGTTGCCAATCCATAAAAGTGCCTGTCCTCTTATGGTACAACTGACTTTGCTTAGAAACCTTTAGATATGTCGTTTGCCAACAAACGACATATTAGATCACACAGGTCTACACACTTAATCCCCCCAAACCCTAACTAACTAAAGTAACTAATCAGCCAACTAACTCTGTCTGTCTGTCTGTCTGTCCTCTTTTTGTATCTGAAGACACATTATTTTTTACAAAGGTTCATTCTTCTAATACAGAAGTATCCCTCTCAATAATTCTTTTAACATTTGTCCTAGAAGATACATTAAACTAACTGAAATGACTTTCAATTTTTTTTAAAGTAGGTTTATATATTTTATTGAAATTTTTATAAAGAAAAAAACTTATACAAACTAATAAAATACTGTGGTATTTTTTTCAAAGAAAAAAAAGAGAAAAAAAAAAGACAAGGCTAAAAGTGCAAGAAAAGAAGTAAAAGAAAAATAGGAAAGAAAAGATACAAAGAAGTGGGTTCCAATATTGTCCACAACAGCTATAAGTAAAAACATGTTTTAATTCCCTTCTCTAAAGTTACATCAAGATTCTCTTCTTTCTATAATTTATCCTACCTAATCATCAAAGCCATAAATCACGAGTTCATGCATATAGGGAAAAACTAGGGTCATATTGTGTTTGTTCTTCAGACTCTGAAAATAACCAATGTTAAAGTACTTATTGTTTGTGAAAAGATCAGCAATTTTGTATTTAACTTCGTAAAGAGCTGCTATTTAGTTTGTCAATTTGACTGCTCACTTCAGTTCTTGTTACCTCAGTTAATAAAATGGTGGCTCTACTTGGTGCAGCTTGTTATAAAATACTCATTTTCCACACAGCAAATTGCTGAGATTGTTCTCGGCAAGGCCTCCCATCCCTGCAGGGTGTTTTCTAGGATCGCAGGTGACTTTCATTTTCCCTTCCCCAGTGGAAAGGTGCTCCTTTATGTAAATCTCTGCATTTTAACCCACACATCATTTTTATTTTCTAAGAGTGCTTTATGAGGTCCTAAAACATTGCTGGATCTTTCCAGCAAGCCAGTTTCCAAGAAGTTAAAAGATACATTTTTTCAAGAACAGGTAAAACCTGGGTGGTTGCAAGAGAAGTATCTCTGGAATTGTAGTTCAATATTATTGAGTCTGTGTTATATTCTAAGCCAGTGGTTCTCAACCTGTGGGTCGGGACCCCATTTGGGGTCGAACGACCATTTCACGGGGGTCCCCAAACAAGGCTGTCTGCCATTTTTCCCCCTTTTCTTTGGCCAGGCCCCTGGCACCCGGTGATGTATAAGTGGTTGGGGGTCACCACAACATGGGGAACTGTATTATGGGGTCACGGCATTAGAAAGGTTGAGAATCACTGTTCTAAGCCATCAAGTTTATTCCCTCTCTTCACCATAGTTTCTTTGGAAGATACCTATTATTATATTATTATTGTTATTTTAATCTTCAATTTGATTCACAGTCTGGGACTGGTAAAAGTTCAATTCCTAACCAAGGATCTAAGAGCTGTTAAGAGAATGTTTGAGTATATCAGGATATTCAGGTCTAATAAGTTCAAAATTTCCATGCATCTAGGCAGCCCTTTGGGTATTGCTTCAAGAGCTCCCTATTACTATTGGTACAACCATTGATTTCTTCGCCCATAGTTGCTCAGCTTCAGTTTGTAAATCATGACATTTTGTTATTCTGTGCCTAACTAGGCATTTCAACAATTCTCACTCCAATGAACTCTGTGAGGTGATTTACAGTAATAAGAGAGCAGAAGGCTGATATTTTAAAAAGTCAAAATTCCAGAAAGAAAAAGGAAACAGTCCATCTTGAAGCAAAGCAACACAGATATTCCTAAAAGGTTGTTTGAAATGCTAATGAGAGGTAGGGAAACCCTCTGTCCCAGATATAGATAACATGGCTTAAAAAGGCATATTATGAATAATTATATCATGTATCTAAGTGGGCTTTACTGGGACTCAGAATGACCTTCCCTCACACAGATTATACAGATTTCCTCATTGATTGTATTATGGGCTTCACTTTTCTCAGCATGAATTACCCACAGTTAGAATATCAAACTATGAGGGAGAGAAAAATGCACACAAACACAGATGCACACAGTATTCAGCATGCTGGATTAGTCACTCACTCAACTTAGTCTACTTCACAATGTTGCCATATAAAACTGAAAGGGGGAATACATGCCATTTAAAGTCTATAGAGGCCAGGCACTTTACAAATGCAATAAAATATCAAATATGCTCCTCATGTGGCTTTCTGCATTTTGGAGCCCCCTTGTAACACACTATGTCAAGACTGGGTAGAGGAATAATTGAGGTAATCAAAATCAAAAAGCTTTTTCTTAGTATGTTCTCAATTCTCTTAAGGCAGGCATGTCAAACTGCTGGCCCATGGGCCGGATGCGTCATGCCGAATGGGGAAAAAGTCACGATACATCATGCGACGTCACGTGACGTCATGAGTTTGACATGCCTGCTGTAAGGCATTAGCTAAAACTCCCATAAGTAATCTGAACTATCTCTTTAAGAGGAAAGCACATGAAATGAATGTTAATCAAACATACCACTTCTACCATGCAGAAGCAGGCAAAATGTTGCAATTTAAAGTGCTCTTTCCCCTATGGATAACTCCAGTCCACACACATCTGTATTCTCAAGTTAAGGGACACAATTCTACAATGCCAACAGTCAAGTTAAGGGACACAATTCTACAATGCCAACAGTTATGAGAACAGCAAGTTCAGGGTTGTAACATTCCACTTATAAATGACAAGTCTTTACAGTTCAGTTACAACAGCACAGACACAGAAGAATGCCAAGTGGTAAGTACAATGAAAAGTACCTTGAGTAACAAAGCAAGGTGGTAGTCCTTTTGAGGTCATGGAGGAAGAAACAGGAAGGAAGGCAGTGAAACAAAAGAGAGGAAGATTTTATTGGACAGAACCAATATTTCATTCATGGTTATAAAAAGGTGCTGTGGGCACTATCAAACAAAGACTAAAGGGAAAACTTCACTTCTCTTGAAAAAAAAATTAGAAGTAGCAAATTAGCAATATATTTATTGGAAGCAAATTCGCTGAAACCAACGGATCCATTCTCCTTATCAATAAAGTAAAATGTTAGACATAAAACAATGGAGAAAGAAAGCTTTTAAGATGACAATTAGTCATTGCTATTGACCAGAGCTGCTATTATCAATTTTTTATTCCCATTTTCAGTGTTTCATCCTTGTAATCTTTTCTGTACAATAGTTCTTGCTACTCAAGGCTGCATATGCAAAAAGAGTCACTGGAAAGGCAAGGAGCACTAGTGCACCCTTGTTATAAATCAGACTGAAAACGTCCTTAGGATTTACTGATTCCCTACCTTTATTATATTTACAAACAATACAAGATAGCAAACACACCTAACTCTCCTTCCTCCTCCTATTTTTTCCTAAAACAACAATTCTGTGAGGTAGGTTGGGCTGAGAAAGAGAGTAACTGGCCTAAAATCACCCAGCTGATTTTTGTTGGATATAACAAGAAGTGCAAACCAATGAAATACCCAAGCATCTATATTCCCCTCTAGAATCAAACAGCCACTGGGAATAGCAGCAAAAAAAAGCTACTATTCACACAGACCTTTTAGTAGGGTATCCAGGAAAAAGTAGGGTGCTAGGTGGGACTTCAAATCAAAGTATATTTTTATGAACATGCTTTAATAAACCTACTCACCCAATGTTAGGAAGTGAGAAAGATACTCACTCTTCCTCAAACTTTGTAGCTGAAGAGGTGAACAGGGATCCTACACTTTTCCTGTAAGCTTCAAATGGCCAATAAATGTTTCAAGCTCACATGAGGCCACGGGTAAAATTCATTCTACTTGTTCTTGATGGCCCAGATTTCAAACACAAATTATTTGCTAAATGTCAAATTTATTTAATGGATCTTATTTGCAGAGCCAGCTTTTGCATACTCGCATCTGTCTGAGAGTAAGGAGATGTTTGAAAGCAAAACAAAAGAAAAGTAAAACTCTGTTTGCTAGTCTATTTAGCAATATCAAAGCTGCTTGCAACTCTGACTTCGGTATGTTCTTAATGAAATGTATACAGTATATTCCTAAAGTGATTTCTGCAGGCATATCATTGTTTTTCACAGCACAAAGCTGAACTCTTCGATCACGTATCTTATTTGGAAAGCTATTTATATATTGGAACAATGACCACTCCAGGAAATAGATATTAATACACAGCTAATAATTTTTCTTTACTCCAAAGTATTACATATTTCTTACCTTCCAGAATAGAATACTGCAGTGACGACAAAATTGCAAGGTATCTCCATATTGTTCCTTTACTGGATAACATTTCTGAAGTGCAAAATACATCAGCTTCCAGTCAACATGACCTTTTTCTGACAAAATAAGATGCCTACAAAACTGAACATAAAAAGTGACATTTGAAGGCAATCATGTTTCATCCAGCAGCCAAGTCAGATAACAATAATGGAACAGAACTATGCATATCAGAAGAAATGTTTTAGAAAATAGTTTGTGAAATAAGTTAGAGGATTACTGACTCACTAAGGGGGTTTTTTTGGTCCCTGCCCATAAATTAATTGTTAGCTTATGGCATGGCCAGCAATGCTAGGCAAATATTCTCAATCATTATAGACTCTTATTAAAGCCAAGCAAAACATGGGTCTAGATCAGTTTTTTTTTCAAACTTGGTAACTTTAAGATGTGTGAACTTCAACCCCCCCCCCGCATTCTCCAGCCAGCATGAGTACAAGTTCTTTACCATTAAATTTATATTTAAATGGAAGTAAATTCTGCTGAAACCAGAGATTTCTTTCGGAACCGCTATGTTTAAGAGAGCAAAAAAGTACTGCTAGTAGTTGTTACATACTTCCTTTGGGAACTGCAAGCAAGTTGGATTCCTTTTTTTCTCTCCATTTTTTTCCCCTGATTCTTTACACAGAAGCAAAGTTTCAGAACCTCACTAGACAAAAGTATATGCACAACAAAATTTTCTCTTACTTGTTTTTCAGCAAAATGGTATTGACACAGCTTTTTCCATAACTGCCTATCTTCACTGAGCATATATAATGTCGGAGTCACTTGTCCTAAAGTAATGATATCCCATCCATCTGAAAATCTATGCAAGATGTTGTTCAGCATATGTAAAGGAAGATCGCTAAGTGTAAGTCCATTGTTGATGTGCTGAAAATCAAAAACATTACACTTAGTTGTCTGTTAATTTAAACACCAAGCATAAACAGGATTTAGAAAATCAAACATTTATATCAAAAGCAGAGCTTAATAAACAAGCATGATATTCTATAACCAAAAGAAAATGTTCCAATAATTCTGAAAATTAGAAGTAGGCTAACTATATATTGCTCTACAGTACATTTTCAGGTGCTCAAATATTATTAAGTTGTTAGAAAGAACAGGATGTGTTTAAAAGAAACAGTGAGAAAAACAAAGCATTGCCCATTTCTTCATATTTTAGCTATATTGGCATTTTTATTCCTTCACAGATCATCTATTTTAGATTAAGATTTTTTTTATTTCATGCTTTCTTGTCCTAAAGAGCAAAATGAGGGGAGATAATTCTTAATGAGATTCTCACAAAAAAAGATGCCCCACTTTGTCTCCCAGCATCTCCAAATGATTCTTCCAGATTTAATAAGGGCATGAAAGCTGGATGTACCTTGGTCATCTGAAGATTACTGAGCTGCTGCTGCCACATAAGGATAGTTTCCAATCGGCAAATCCAAATATTGATGTTTCCTACCAGCACCGATTTCCCTACACTCCTGATTAACATACAGAGGGTGGAACTCAGATCCTGAAGAAGATCTTTAATCAGGCGTGGATTATACTGGTCTTCCAAAACTTGGAATGAGAATTGAAAGATATACACAAGTAGATGAGTAAACCTGCTTTTAAATATAGTGCACACACTTTTCATTCTCTTAGTTAAAATAGAACTTGCCCCATAACATGCTTCAAACGCACAGGTAATTTGATCTGACTATGTAATCTTTAGTATTAATCAGAATTAACTCTACAAATAGCATAAGTAACCCTACTGGTAGGCAATCTTTTGGGGCCGAGCGAACAAATCTGAAATTCCAAGAACATGATACAGCTTTACCTTTCTGAACAATTTTATCCAAAATGTTGAAGTAGTTCTTTTGAGCTGCGCCACTCAAGGATGTCAACTGGGATTTGGCTATTAACTGCAGAAGCTAAAAGAAAACAGCCACCCTTCAATAGTACATAAAGTCAAATGACACATATCACAAGAAGCTGCAGCAGGGCTAATCAAGCGGAGTGCAAGTGAATGACTCTTCTGATGCTGTCAAAAGCAGCTGGGCTTTGAGTCTGGGGCTTGCTCTTCTCTCTCCATGTGTGCAAATTCCCCTTTGAGTGTCACAGCAGGAGTGCAAGTCACTTGTACATCCACCTGTCTGCCCTGCTCTTAACATCAGGAATTGCTTTAACAGTGACACATAATTCCCCTCCAATTTAATCCTATCAACTTCAAATCAAAGGCACTTCCTGAGTGATAGTTTTGCCACATGAAATGTCACAGGAAAAGGTAGTTTTCTAGTTCCTGCATAGCAGAGGGGGGGAGGGGGGAATGAACTCTTGCAAAGCTGTTTCCTTGAAAATATTTTTGAAGTCTAGAAAATGTTTTTGCTCTACTTCATCAAACATTTATGAGGGAGATGCAAATATTATTACTATGCTGGAGCCATTTTAAGCACATTCCAACCACAGCAACTCCTGCTGATTTCAATAGGAGGATTAAGAAAAATCAACAAAAGTCACCCAGAAAGGAGGCATGCTCAGATGCTCAATATGTCTGAATATTTAATTTAAAGATACTTAAGTACATTTCAACATAATCCTAAGCAGGTTTAATCAAGTAAATATATTGAATGGATCCAACTATGTGGCTCAGCCAAAGCACAAAACAGTAACTTTAGATAATGTGCTGGTTAATGCTGCTGGCCAAGGGATTCTCTAGGGTGTGAAAAGCTTCTGGGAATAAAGAAGCTTCTTTGTAACTACTCCGGTAATAATATCATCCACTGAGTTGGGATGCAAGTAGGTAGATAGTGAAATCAATGCAAGATTTAGAGCCAGGCCACCTAAATGTATTATACTAGTCAACATGCAGATAGCCACATTTTACACTAGTTAAAACTTGTTCTGAATCATCTCAAGGTCAACAGCATAAGGCACATTCATTAACTATAAGAATCAATCATGGAACTACACAGGCCAGAAACTTTACTTACTTTAACTACGTAATTGAACCTCCGTATGTCCTGAATTGCACTTGAAAAATCCAAACGATTGAAAGCTTCTCCCAAAGTGCAATAGCCATGCCTCTTGAAGCAAAAAGAAAGAAAACAGGTGTTATAATGAAGCAGGAATAAGAAGTACACAAAGAACGATTCACATGCTCCAGTTTCCAAGCTGCCTAATCTCCTAACATCTTCACCAAAGGAATATAAAGGAGGGAAGGCAAGAAGAAGTTTCTATATAAACCTAACAGAGCTCATTCTGCTTCTATATTCATCTGTGGCAAGCATGTCTAGACTGCTTTCTTTTATCTCTCAAGAGGGAAGGCACACATGTAATGTTGTACTTTAGACTAGTGGTCCCCAACCTTTGCAGCCCACTGCTTGCGCTAATTCAGCTGCACAAGAGTTGAGCTGTGCACATGCATGCCAGTCCATCTCCTGCATGGCTCGGTTCTGAATAGGCCGCGGCCGGGGGGGGGGTGTTGGACATCCCTGCTTTAGCCCAATTAAGATAACAAATATAAGGTATGGGAAGAAAAAAAATAAAATAATGATTGATACTGAGGCTCCTTCTCCTCGAGTCTCGTTAGATCTTTTTTTATAGATAATATGAATAAATTGATCAACATGTTTTGATAAACTGTCCCTATCCTGAAAAAGAATTATGATACAATATATCCCTTTCTGCAGTTGCACGAGTAGATTCGTTAAATGAGGGACTACCAGGGCCTTTTGGAAACAGTCATCGTACAGAACACTTACTTCACGGGTACTTTCTTTATGAACATATATCCAGTTTTCACGATAAAAACCTGAAAGCAGAACCAAGCACAAATTCATTGAATAACCTCAAGTTTAGGATGGATAACGTTCTCCCTTGCCGAAATTTCTTTTCTATGGCACTCATAGAATTCTATGGCTGAATTTAGAGTGACTCTCACCAAAGCAGGATTGCAGTCTTTTCAAGCAGGCTTCTGGTGTTGGTGAAAATCTGGTGCTAATGTAAATATCAGTTAAGATTTAATATTGATAAATCAAGTAATGTCGCAATACGTTTTGTCTTAAGGTTGTTCTGTGAATGACTCCAATGAATCCATATATCTGACCATTTGCTGTCCTGTGAACTAAATTATTCAAAATTATTCAATAAAGATGATTAGACGTATGTACGTACAGGACAGTTCTTCCAACAGACTGCCCTCATTCAAATCTAGAGAAAGGGACTGAACAGTCTCTTTGGGGGGGGGGAGGGAGAATCCCATAGTGTTTAGATGGAATCATCATCAACATGACATACTTCTAGTTATTTCACAGGCTACCAAATCTAAGAGTTATGGGGAAACAATGGAACAAAGAGGACGATATTTACAATTTTGGCTTAGGATGAAATTTCAATCAGTGGAGCAGAGAAGGTAATATTGACTCAAATCACATCATATCAAACTGGGAGAAGGAAGAAGTGTTAAGGTGAGCTTTTCGCTTTCTGTTTAGCTTGAATGCCCTCACTACCTTTTTACTTTAAACAAAATTAGATTGTCAGACTTTGGGAAAGAACGTAATTCAACAAAATAACCAGCAAAAGCTGCCTCTCGCTAGTCATAACAGAAATGTAATTAACCTACAAGTTCTTCTCACATCTCTCCACTTCCCTCTAGTTAATCATCATGTTACAGTGAAGCGAGATTCTGTACAATTTAAAAGCTTTTGCAACCACCTTTAAAAAGAGAAAGGCCTACCATCTCTGGGCCAATTCAGACTCCCTTTTTAGAGTAGAATCGCTCCAGCCAACACTTCGGATTTATATTCTAACTAGAGTCAGTATATGATTCCCTGGACTGATCTGGATTGCTGCAATTTTATATGAATTTATAAATCTATATGAATTTTGCTAAGACCTATGGTTGCAAATAAATCTTTCATTGTAAAAATGCCAATGTTCTGGGATCATCTGGAAGTGAATTTGACTGGGAAACACACTTTCACATCCCAGTTTGGTATTTAGCCAATTTGCTTTTGATTCTATCTCAGAAACTTTCAAGCTAAGTACCAGGGCTGTGGATGCTTCAAAGTACTTTAGCCAGAGCACAAGCAGAGTACTTCACACCAGGCTTCAGTGCATTAACATTACCATGTTGAACTCTTGAGAGCAGAGCACTTTCTTTTCAGACCTGGGAAGAGTGAGAAGCCTGAAAGAGTCAGCCTATTTTAATAAAAGAATGGAGGGTTATGCTGGCATTTGGTGCTTCTCCTGAATCTTTCTCACGGCATGACTTATTAGGAGCCTCCAAAGGGAAAATTCTTAAAACATACACTAACATTTACACACATACAGTTGTTTTAATAAAAGTTTAATAAAAGCGCCTTAAAAAGTTGCTTTAATGCTCTTTTTATTAAACTTTTATTAAAACAACTGTATGTGTATATATGTAAATGTATGTTTTAAGAAGTTGTTTTAATGCCCTGTAGAGAGCATAATAGCCTTGAAGGGCAACTGTGTGAGTCAGGTAAATCCTTTGTTCCTTTTTTGTTTTTAGAAGAAACACTTTGGTGCAAATCCTAAACATATGCAGCTTTTTATGCACATATACACATACAGAGGAATCCTTACCCAGCCTATGCTTCTCATGTACACAAGTATTTTGTGGGCATATTTATAACGGCCCTGCTGAGGCAGAAAAGCTATTGTCAAATTGCAAAGAACATTAAAAACTGAAAAGCAATTCTGGCTTACACTGAGATTTTGCAGTGTTCCTAAAGTGATCTTTTTTCCTTTTCTTGCTTGCAAATTCACACTCGGTACCGCATATTTCTTCATCGCTGTTCAAGAGGCTGAAAGCAAACCACAGAGGCAATGCATGAAATATGTTTGACATAGGAAAGAGCCAAGCAGGCTGTGTTCAAACAATATTTAAACAGGCACCAGGGTGAAGAACTTGGATGAGGTCACTCGCAACACCGTGATGCCTCTGAAGAAGAAAGGAGCTCTCTTCTATTTACAAAAAAAAAATAAAAAAAAATCCTGGCCTCCAGGTAAGGATGAATACACTTCACACAGAGAATGGCTCAGACTCTGTTCTGCCACCTCGGCTTAAAATACACCACATGGCAATGCTCAGACAGGCAAGTCTTGTAAATTGGAGGATATGGATATATGAATTATTATTGGTATAAAGTAATTATAATTCACATAACTCTTTACAAGCAAAGTAGCTATGTTAACTATAGCTCAGGCACCACAAAAAAAAGACAGTTCCAATAAAAGTTATACTCAAGGGTAATACAATATTTTATTTTTGTTTTAAATCTAGTATTTTGTGCTATTCAAGATACTTTTAAGCTTCCTTTAACTATGAGTTTAATGTAAAAAGTACCAAGTGATCTATGTGAATTCTATAATTACACTTTCAATTTTCATAAATAATTTTTAAAAAAAGTTTTGTGAAAAAGACACAGCAAACTTTATTTTTCCAGAGCCCAATCCAATATGGTTTGCTTCGCTCACTTCACAAATACTGGAACTATAAACATGAACAATGCAACGACGTGAAAAGAAAGGTGTTACTTTGCTACAGTATTTTTATTCTTTGATGGGAAAATTGTGTACAGGAATTTTCTCCATTCACTGAGCTCAGTATCAAATGAAAAGTATTTATCACTGTCAGTTCAGATTTAAGAAACTCACACTGTATAAGCTGTATCCAGTAAGCACCAAAGAGAAAAAGAACAGAGGATGCAGGAAAAAAAACCTTCCACCCACTTCTCTAGGGATAAAACAGTAACTAATAAAGTAATACAGTGCATCACAAATTCAACATTGCAATGTAATCATGTTTTTGAAGAGAAAAAATAATTCTCTTTGGATTTTTTTTTTAAATCCAAGTTCAACCAGTCATATGTGGCATATAAATTATCTGCTCCATATAAATCTAAATCAGAAGTAGAGTCTTCCAATAACAAATTTTAATGAAAAATATCTCAGTAGAAAAATAGTGCTATGAATCACAAGGCCAGAGATCTTGGATTTATTCCAAAGTAAGAAATGAAACCTGATATTGCTATCTTGCACTCACCTGGGACTTTAGGTTCACTTCCATTTACACAAAAAAAAATCTACCAAAATACCACAGAAAACAGCAGGACCTATTAGCCAGAAAGAAGACTAATTCAATTATGAAAGAGTTTTCTCTACTACCAAAGAACTTGATTCAAATGAAATAAAGTATTAAGAATGTCCCATTCAATCCCAATCTATGTATTGCTGCAAGTCCACAAAGAAATAAATTTGGAGGGGGAGGAAGGTCATGGCCCTCCAAAAGTTGCTTGAAGAAAATGCTCCTTACTCTTTGTCAGCAGTCTTGCTAGCTGGGACTATGGAACCGGAACTCTAGCATACTGGCTCTTGAGGGTATGATGCCATAAGAGCCATGGTGCCGCAGTGGTTAAAATGCAGTATTGCAGGCTAATTCTGCCAAACTGCCACCAGTTCAATTCTCACCGGCTCAATGTTGACTCAACCTTCCATCCTTCTGAGGTTGGTAAAATGAGGACTCAGATCATTGAGGGCAATGTGCTGACTCGCAAAGACACTTAGGGAATGAAGCGGCATATAAGTCGAATTGCTATTGCTATCTCCACCTATCAGAGAAGTCCATTATTATACCATTAATGGAGTAACGAAGCATTGAATTCTGGTGCTATATTTCTTGTTGTCCTTCTCTCTTTCTCATCTACAAAACTGTGGGCCTCTTGAAACTGACTCTGCCTTTTTCTCCCAACAGGAAGAATTGAAGAGGTGGAAGGAGGGGTGCTGGGATAATGGTGAGTTAGGGTCAGAAAAGTTGTGCTTCACTTGACATCTGGTCCCCGCCTTGCTTTGCCCACCTTCCTTGAACCAACTGCAATATACTCAGTTTAGGCAATACATAAAGCGTAAACCAACTACCTCACAGTTTCAAGCACATTATGTGAACCCACAAAATGAAAAATTCAGATGTGGGAGAAAGGAAAGGAATGGTGAAAGGATTAGCACTTTGAAGACACTCCTGGGGCTTTCAGACTGGGTTCCTGCTCCTTAGCATCCCTTTAGTGTTAATGAGTCAGTAGAGAGCTAATAAACCTGTGCTCCTGCACATTTTTGCTATGGAATAAATGTGCATAAATTTGCAACAAGTGAAAGCAGCATATAATTCTTGAATGATCTTTCAAAATCTAAACAGCATCAGAATTGGTTAAACTTAACTGAATACCCTACAAAAGTACAGAACTTAATTAATGTTTGCTCTATTTTTACTTAATACCATATTTGTCCTGCGTTCTGAACTCCCTATTCAGCTTCAGATCGCCTTTTGGAAGCTGTGCTCGTTTCATTTGCCGTAAGACTGAAATAAAGGAATTGGGTTTAAAATTATACATAACTGAGAGCGAGAAATAGTAAAACCCAACCAAAGATATACTGTAAAAGCACTAATGGATTGAATACCAACTTTCTGTTATTGTGTTTTATTTTAGGCCCCAAATACTAAAAAGACAATAATTACGATATGTGGGGCTGTCAAATTTTTGATCTAACAAGATCATTATGCTGCAAAAGCTGTAGAACCATTACTTTAGAAAATTTTTATTTGCTATACTGTGCAGTACTATATAACAAGTTAAAACATAGGTTAAAATGTTAGACACAATATTTAACCTCTAGTTGAAATATAGTTATTAATCAAAGACACATAAGCACTTGTTATCACAATCTGATTGCAGGATGAAACTCTATTGTTGCTTAACACTTAAAGGAAGTAGGCATACAATCATATTCTTATATATCTGAGCAGTTTTGTTTATATTTATTCCCAGGTGAAAGCAAATTTGCAGATATGCTGCAATAGGAACAGAGTTAATACATAAGCAAACTATGTTGAAAGTGGTTGCAGTGAACTCATGAAATGAAATGGCCCAATGCAGCACAGCATAAATAGTTCAAGAAGACTCAAAACATTTGTTGCAATTAGCTAGAATTCATCAGCTACAAATGGCTAGTGTTGTGACTATTACTCATACACAAACTATGTGATCCAGCTGTGAAGAACAAAGACAATTTTTTGATATAATAGGCATGGAATTTCTCCAAAAATATAGGATTTGGAGAGTTAAGAGACTCCCTACCTTGTACACATCTGGAGAGCATTAGGCTAAACAGGATGTTTTAAATCTGCTTCAGGTCATATTTGAAGTAGCATTTTTAGCATAATATGTTGAGAAATGAACATTATTTTGCCCATACATAAAAGCTCACTGTTAAGCAATCCAAGCAGGATCATTGTAACTAACCAGTTTCCTATATTGTTTGAACTTGTGTTTTAAAACAAGCCAGATATTAAAGCATGCTTATCTAAGGAACAAAGATTTCTTAATTTGCTCAAATAAACAAGTGGACTGAATGCACATGCTGGCAAATTAACAAGTTAAATTATAAACTTCTAGACTTTCATACTATACTGATCTCCAGATTCTTTATTAGGGTTACAAATATCTAGATGGCCCAAAGGTGTTTTTTCAAGAGGCAATGGGTTCTTGGGTGAGAAGCGAAATGTCTTCAAAGAAAAACAAGAAGTCCAGTTGCCTCTTGAAAAAGCACCTTTCGCACAACCATGACCTGGATGACTGAGAATCTCCATAGAAATATCTAGATAATTGCTAGATGGTGGCAAAGGAAGCTTTCCCTTATATTGCTTTGCCATCACCTAGCAGACATTTGGTTGGGTTTTTTTTTTTGTTTGTTTTTTGCAGTGTAGCCCTGTAGTTTTTGGCTTTTGTCTTTCACCTAAAAGCAAAATTCACCATTGCCTTCCTGCTACTATCAGTGATTGTCAATCAGTTATGGCCAATTTGGAGATACATTACAATTCAGCTTTCCCCAACCAGGATTCCTCTGGTAGATTGCAATTCTAACCAGTAACTATGTTGGCTTGGAATTTTGGGAAGGCCAGCATCCTCCAATACAGAGAATGCTCAATGGGAAAAAGCTGGCAAAATTAAGGCAGAAAAAGACTCATGTAAGAAATATCATCTTGTTATTACCATTAGAAAGGTTGATGACTACATCCAAGGACTTTTATCCTTGTATAAGGAAAAATATACAAAATCACCGGCTCTTCTTTCCTGCCAAAGTGCTCTCATTGCTTTTTTGCCACTATTGGAAAATTAGAGCTTGTGTCTTCAAACTGCTATTTCTTGAATAACTTTGTAGTGAAAATACTATTTCTTCCCAAGTCTGCAATTTCATTTTTTTTCCCCAGCTCAAACCTAGTTTTAGCATCATGGGTCCAACAGCCCACCTTGTATTTTAAATACTGAAGTCCCCATGGCAACACTGCATCAGATAATTAGGTTGTTACATTACAAATGAACACCATGATATTTTAAATAAATACAAGCAGCTTTCAGCTCTCCTTATCTTACCCAAAATGGATGTCTCCTCACCATGGAGAGTACACGACTTGTGCAATTACTCTCATAATTGATTTAAATGTATAGAAACAGCAGGAAAGTATTAGTTTTTAACTTTTACAAGATCACACTTTGTTTACATCCAATTATATAAAATTTAAGCTGCATGTTTCAAAGCAGCAGTAAGATCTTTTGCAATTAATTATTGCTGACTGCAAAACATTCTACTAAAACCTGCCAATGTTTTATCCCAAGATGGGTGGATTTTCTTAAATCTAAAATCCAGAAACCAGCAGCCTGAGTTTACCAACATCATTCAAAACCCACCATCTTCTTTATTTTTTTCCATATATTTTATTGATTTTTTAAACATAAATTGCTTAATAGTTGGCAAACTGTGTGTTTGCTGGGTTTACATTTGTAAAGAAAAATCATTAACAATTGGTTTTTATAATCCATAATCCACATAGTACATTTAGTTGATTTCCCCTTTTCCCCAAAATGTCTTCCTTGCAAACCTTGAATTAATACAGTTATTATTTTGATAAATAACAGTTACATATATGATTTCCCCCCCAATATTCCTAGAAATAATGATCACATCAATATATTTCTTTTCTATCTAATCCTTCTGGTTGCCTCATTTTATATCCTGTTACAGTCCTTATTTACATTTGTTTCTCCCATAAAGTTCAAAGTATTCTTGCTGGTTAAGATTTTCTCAACAGTTAATTACATTTAAAAATTTAAATCCATTTAAACCATCTCAACACTTTTACATTTCTTAAAGAATAGATAAAAACAGTAAAAAAAGGAAAAGAGTAAAGAAACATAAAAACTAAAATATTACTTAAAATATATATTCCTCCTAAGCTAATATATATTCATTCCCAAAATTTCTTATTTTTTTTAACCATAATTAAAAATATATTTAATCTTTAAATATTCCATTTAATGTATCTAGTTATCTAATCCTTTAACTCTTATTCAAAACATTTTTTTCTTTTTTATACATTATAATTTCTCTAAATTCAAACACATTTAATTATCTAAAACATTTCCTTCATCTAAGCCATTTCAACAGTATTATATTACCTATATCAAGAAATAAAATAAAAAGGGGGGGGAAGCATACAGTATTATTTAAGGAATTCATCCCTCTTAGAATAACATATGTATTCAGAACCTTTTCTATTTCTTTAGCCATATTCAACCAAATGTTTCTTTTTTATATATTATCTCTGGTAGATCCCATCATCTATTTTCTTGATTGTCACTTTAATCTTTTTCCTTTGACCAATATCTTTCTTAATAAATGCGTTTTGCTGAATCAAAAAGTTTTTCCATATATTCATGACTGTGGCTGTAGGTATAAGAAGTAAATCGAATAAAGTGTCTGTATATGAGGCTTTTGCCTTTCCATGTTTCTTGAAGATCTTTTTTCTTTTTCTCCTTCTTTTCTTCTCTCATCACTTCCTTTCTCTGTGATGTTTTCAACATCTCTACATTCCATTTTATCCAATCTGTTTTTTTGTCCTCAGATTTATTTTGTAGTCTTAAGGAATGAGTTGTTTTTTCCATTTCTTGTAAATTTTTTCCCACTAGGATTAAATCATGTTTTCTTGCTTTGTTAAGTTCTGTCTTTGAGTCTCTATTTTTGATTTTTTGTCCACTTATTTGTTTTGTCTGCTCCTTCTCTGTTGTTGTTTCCTGGAAGTTTTTTTGTTGTAGAGTTAACTTAGAAATAGATTAATTTATATTTTCAAATTTATTTTGGATTTCTTTGTGATTTGAACTCAGTGATATTTGAATTAGTTGCAGTATACTATATATCTCCTCCTGAGAAGTATTTATGTTTCTTAGTGTGTTCTATCTACATGTCTCTGATCCATGATGGCCAAAAGTTGAAGTTTTCCTTCTTATCTGCAAATAGCTTTGGAGTCCCAGTTAAATAGATATTTATAATCCAAAGAGTTCAAAAAAATTTTTTTTCCTAAAGTTTATAATTCTGTCTCTAGCCCAGATTGGTTTTTTTTTGGGTCACCGCTGTTCTTTGTTATTAAAGCTTTGAAGTCACAAACACAGATTAGCTTTTCCCATGTTTTGGCAAATTCTCTATGAAAATCATAGCTGTCATAATCTTCATCCACCACTAGGTGTCAGCATCTAATTTAGTTTTCAATATAAACAATGGTCTTCAAAATGAGAGTCTTAACCATTCAACAATTTTAAACTTGTCCTAAGTTAAATTTTAGCTTTTGAGTTTATAAATTTATTTCACTACCATATATTTTGATCCTCCATGGAAATTTTAATTCGCCACTTACGTTAGTATAAGGGTGTGGCGGAAGTCCCCCTCCTTCACTTTCAGAGGTATTTTGCTTCTTGGGGATCTTTTCCAGGAAATTAAATGTAGAATAGAAAAGGGAAAATCAGATTCCTCACCCAGTTTCAAGCACGCTGTTTACTGTTGTGCTAGTCAGTTCTTTTGGACTTCGGTTACAAGTAGCTTGGGCTGATTGGTGAAATATAGCCTTTTTCTGTGCTGTTAAAAGGCTTTCCCCAAGACGAACAGAATGACTGCCATCATTCCAGAGTCACTGGGGCACCCTTCTTTCTTCGCCACCTCTCCGGGGCAGCTTGGACCCATTGGGATCTCCAGACAGGATGAAAATTAGCCGCAGGGGTGCAGCAGTCTGCAAGCCAGCGACCAGTCACTACCGCATAAGACGGGAAGTCCCACCAACTTCTTTAATTATATCAAATATTATATATTAATTATCAGATTAACAAACATCAGGGTTTGTCCTAGTGGTCCCTTCTTCCTTCTGCCTGGCCCTGAGAAAAGTCTACAAAGCCTATTTCCTGGGTATCCTAGTAGAGGTTCATGACATTACACTAAAAAAATATACAACATGCACAGGCCTGTCATTTAGACAGGCCGTAGTAACCAAAGAATGGAAGGTAACACAACTGCAGCAGCAGCAGCAGTGTTTGGTGATTTAATTCAGGTACTGTATCCAAGGAGAATATCACTGTGTCAGGTATCTGAGCAAAGAACTCTTCAATGTGCCCTCAGCAAGGAACACCTAATTCTTATTCAGCAAAACGCTGCTTCTCCTCAGCAACAGTGCAGTCTCTGCGCTATTGGCAATAAGATTGTTTCAATAAAGACTCAAGGGTCAAAGCAGTCCATTTTTCTAATCTGTCTTACAGAGATGCAGTGCAGCATGGTTCCAGGAGTGGGGCATCCCCACCAGATGGCTTGCTTGCAATTATACTCAGGCCTGGATATCTTGTGAAAAAACAAAGTTCTTTCCTGCAAGAAAAAGGCATCCATTCCCCCATTAGATGTGGGCTTCATTACTGGAGTGATACATGCACCCACTGAAAGCACATACACACACACGAACTAAATTCCAAAAGAGCAAAATTATGCAGTTGCATTGCTGAATAACATGAGCAACCATCCATATCTGAATGGAACTGGAGGCTCAAGGTAGCTTCCTCTGTGGACTAAATAAGTTGGCACAGTGGCCTTATATACACAATTATTCTATTTACCTTATGGATAACCCCATTTTCATTTTTCTATGCTGTCTCCAAGAAAACTTACATAGCATGGTTGATGTCATTAAGCAGATTGCCTTCATCCTCAAATTCAGAGCTGCAAGGCTCACTTCTCTTCCAACCGTCTTCTGTTTTAATCCATCTCCATCCGGGAGATCGCCAGTCCTGACCCAGAAAAGGCATGGTTTCCTTAAGGAAAACAAGCAATAAAGCTAATTAACCATTTTGGTCTTAGGCATGGGTGAGCTTCAGAATTTTTCAAGGAAATTAGTATAAGAGACAGCCAAGCATGGAAGCTGAAACTGTCAATAATAATCAGCTGATCTTAACAGAACCCATCTCCTTTTGCTTATGATGAACTTTCAAATGCAAATCAATGGGGAGGCAACTTCAGAATAAAAGCATGCTGGGGATACATTACATTTTCCAGCACAGGCTCTTGCAAACACCAGGTAAGGATTAATGAACTGAGACTGAATTAAGGGGGAAAATTACCATTAATACACTGTGGGCAGGTTGTTGAAAATATGGGGAAATAATATTCTGTTATGGAATCAAACTCCCTTCGCAGATGACCTCAGTCGTCACTTTCAAGATAAAGGAGGTCAAGACACTGATCACCACAGGAACTGGAAAGCAAAGGGCAACCCTCCAAAAATTGTAGAGGAGCAGCAACAAGGAAGTGGGCTTAAAAAAACACCTTTCAAAGGCGAAGGGAGAAAAAGAAAGGGCAGCGACATACGAATCTTTCATCAGTGTTGCATTTGGGTTCCTAACCACGTTACCGATCTGCTTCTGGGTAAGCCGTCACAGGACCCGACTGTGCCAAGAGGCGCCACTTGGCCAGTACAAGGCGTGCTTTATTTGTTCGACAATAGCGGGGACGTGTCGAAGGACACACAATTCATTCGGGAAAAGGGCTGCGCTACGAATTGGATTCGCCCGGCGACCTCCGCCTTGCAAAACCCCTGCGCAACTTCTCTTTGCTGGGCTAGATGAGGGCAGGACCGCGGAGCAGCGGGAAAGAAGGGAAACGCAGCCACCAGCTTGAGGAGTCCTCCCCCACTTCCCAGTACGCTCTCCTCCAACGTACGGCAATGGAGAACAAAAAGGCTTCCCTTGCCGCCCAAGCGAGAGGCAGGGTCCACCATACCGGCCGCCTCTTCTGCCAAGGCAGCCCCTTCCTCCGCCGAAAGCGTCCTCTACCCCCGAGCCCCTTCGCCCACAGCAGCAGCGAGATCCTCCCGCCATGCTCACCCCAGCCAAGAGCGCGAAGCCCCAGAGACTCCCAGGACTATGTTATTGTTATTGAAGGAAGCGTCACGGAACTTCCATTATCCCCACCCCTTTGCTTTTCTCGGATTGGTCCGTTGGCGCCGCGCTTGTTGCCATCCGGGATCCCGCCCGGCCATTGGATAACGGGTCGCAGTGCTTTTCCAAGTGTTTCGGCCTCACGTGATGAGAAGCAGAGGAGCACGTGCCAATGTTTTGGTGAACAGGAGGGAGGAGAAGAGGGCGGGGTCAACTCTCCCTCCAGTGGGCGGGGCTTCAGGCCTTACGGTGTTGGGAGGAGTTGGGGGAGATTATTGATCGATTGAATTTATCTGTTGAATTGATTGAACTACATAGGGTTGAAAGCAGAAAGTCAGCACTGTAGGCAATTTCGCACGCGCAGGCTTTCTCTTAAGTAGAGCGTGGCCTGCGAGACTGAAATCTCTTGCTGTACTTTGGAGAAGTTTGACAGCACATAGCTTTGAGCTTGACAAAAATAACGTTGGCAGGTTTTTATGCGGATGTTAAGTTTTGACCATTTGGACCATGGCTTTGCAAATGGGCGGTGTATGTGTGGAAATTTCGGGTTCCAATATGTTTTTAAGAGTGTACAGAACTAGGAACAGAGTATTTGCATGGTTAAGCGCCAGATAGATTTATCCCAGCTTTTTCTTGGCAAAGTGCTTTAAAAAACTGCATTCCAAGATTAATGTGTCATAAATATAATTTATATCCAGGCCGTTCAAGCTGCTAGGGCGCTCTCAAAGCAGCTGAAAAGAGGGCAAACAAATCTTACAACAGTTAAAATTATTGCTGACCTTGACCCAAGCTTAAAAGGCTGGGTTGAAGAGAAGAATCTTAATTTTCTCCGGAAAATAAAAATATTGTGGTTGTCTGCAGTTCCCAAAAGGATGTATGCCCTTAATATGGGTTGCAGAGAAGAAAATACCTTTTTTTGTGAGTCTGACAGCTTGAAGAGTGTGTTTGTATTTGCTCAGCCATTTCAAGTTACCCACTTTACTAAGGATGGCCATATCATTTTGTGCTTCAATATCCTTAATTCTTTGGGCAAGAAACAGGAAGGCCACAGCTTCTTACAAAATTTGTCAATTTAGTGAACCAGGAAGTTTGTGATTGTAGTTTTATTTGCTCTAGTAGGCATAACCTGGGGAGTCTATCACTCTCCATTTCATTAATTTTATGCCAGTAACTATATGTTCTAATTTTGGATAGAACATGAATTGTATGAATTCCCAGTTCAGCTCTAACTGCTGCAGCAGATGTTCTTGGATCTATGCCCAAAATACATCTCAGGTGCTGGGACTGCATTTGTTCTAGTGTTGTAATCTAGTATATACCCCAAACTTCTGCTCCATACAAAAGCATAGGAGTAACCTTAGTTTTATATACTCTTTAATGGAACAAGGGACCCTGCATAACTATGATTTTTTTTAAATTTAAGCAGTAGATTCAAACAAGCCTTTGCTCTAAGTGTGCTCTGTTGATGATGGCAAGCCCAAGACCCAGTCTTGGAAAATGGTATGCCTAAATATACAAAGATGTTAACCTGTTCAATTGGTTCACCATCTAATTGCCATCTATGTCTCTCATGATGTTTTCCAAACACCAAAATTTTTTATTTAGATTTACTGATAGTTAGGCAATAGGAGTTAAACCTTCTTAACAGTCTGCACAATCCTATTTGTGAATATGATAATAGGATCATATGATCGGCATAGAGCAAGCTATTACAGTATGTATTTAGGATCATTGGCATATATACCATGGGATCCTTCATTAACCCTGGCAGGTCATTAATGTATAGATTAAATAATAATGGGGCCGGATACACCCTTGTCTTACCCCTTTATTTGTGAGAATCCTGTTAGTCAGGGCCCCATTAACCCCATACCGCACCTTCAAACAGGTACTTGTGTAAAGGGCTTTAATCAAAGCTAGCAATCTAGGTTCCATTTTAAGATATGTCAGTTTACTCCATAGTACTTCTCTGTTTACATTATCAAATGCTGCTGTAAGATCTATAAAAGCAGCAAACGGGTCTCCTCTTATAGGCATATTTGGCAATTAGATGGTTCAGGACAAAGCAGTTATCAATGGTAGATCTGTTTTGTCTAAAACCTGCTTGTTCTTCTGCAAGGATATGATTTTCCTCTACCCAGATTTCAGTTCTATTCAAAAGGAACCTAGCATATATTTTTGCTACAAGGTCAATAAGTCCAACGGGCCTATAATTACTAGGATCCTTTTTATTCTCTTTTTATATATGGGGACAACTATTGCCATCTTCCACCCATCTGGTATATGGCAGGTGTTATTTATATGTGTAAAAAACCTGCCAGTACTGGACCCCACCAGTCGGGGAATTTCTTAAATAATTTTCCTGGCAAAAAATCGTCACCTGGGGCTTTATTACGCTTTAGGCTTTTAATGATGGATTGTATCTCTTTTACCAAGACTGGAGGCCAAAGGGGCGGAGTTCTAGTATTTACTAAGTCACTGCTTAAAGACGGTTTTTCTACAGGTTCCGTAGAAGCAAACAGACATTGATAATAATTTTCCCAGTCCTCAGCTGGGATTGGTATATCAAATGCAAATCTCTGTTTCTTTAGGACTCCTGCTACAGAGTGCCACAATATTACTGAGTTGTGACTTTTGGCAGCCAGCTCAAGTTCTGACCAGACTGAAATGGCAAAACTTTTTTTCTTTAATTTTGTAATTTTTTTATATTCCCTTCTTGTGTGCAACATCTCAGCTTTTGTATGAGCAGTAGGATTCCTCTGGGCAAGCCGCATGACTGCCTTCAATTTCTTTTTCAGGCGCTGGCATTTAGGATCAAACCAACAGGGTCTACCCACTCGGGCTCTAGTTGTTAGGTGTTTCTTTAGGGCAGTAGTTCTCACCCTTTCTAATGCCGTGACCCCATAATACAGTTCCCCATGTTGTGGTGACCCCCAACCACTTATACATCACCTGGTGCCAGGGGCGTGGCCAAAGAAAAGGGGGGAAAAATGGTGGACAGCCTTGTTTGGCGACTCCCATGAAATGGTCGTTCGACCCCAAATGGGGTCCCGACCCACAGGTTGAGAACCACTGCTTTAGGGAGTTACAGAGATTAGAGAACCCGTTAAAGCCTGATAGCCAATCAGTAGAAGATGACTGGATTGTTCTGGCCTAGTTGGTAGCATTCTCTGCTTTAAGGCAGTCTGATATTGCCTTAGTGTCAACTTTGGCCCAAGTTATCCTTTTGTTTTGGGTCACCTCTACCTTTTTGGTGAGCCATCTGTCAGCCATTTTATATGGTCTCAAATCTGAGTGGCTTCGCAATATCACACTTACAGGCTGATGATTGCTATTGTTGCTAAAGTGTACCGTATAAGCCTATACTTAAATTCCCACTTTTTACAGAACATATTCACATATGATGAGTAATTATCACACCTTAGTCTCTCCCTTCAAATTCGATTTTAGCTTTGGAAGAATGCTCCGATTACATATGGATCAATATATATCTTTTTTAAAAAAATGTATACTGGAATTTCTGTGTTTGAGCTGAAATTAGAAAGCAGGGTTGCTTTCATGAAATAATTGGGAATTTAATGAGCTTATTTTCCTATCCTAAAATTTCTACTATAATATAACAGTGAAATATGTATAGACGTCTTTACTATTCATCCTTTTTACCATTAAATCCCTAGTGAATCAGGGTGGCTAAGGAATAGGCCAGACCTAATGGTAGCAGGTACCTGTCTTTCCAAGCGTTGTGCATAGACAATGTATTGTTTGGGAGACTGATAGCACAGGGAAAAGGGTGACAATACCTTCACCCATTGCATCTCTATATGTCTTTATTCTCTTCAATCATTTTCTCATTTTACGGCTCATTACCCAAGTTGCGAAAAGAAGTCAGTTTTCTCATTCCATTCCTAGGTGGGTTTGGATGGGCCTCTTCCATCCTGAACAGTGCAAGAGAGAAGTGCCCTTGCTCTCTGTTTTTCTTTTTCTTTCTCAATAAGAAACTGGGAATAGAAGATCACAGCTGACCCATGCTCCCAAGACTGCAGAATTAGATCATTTCCTTTCCTCCCTGCTGGTGGCAAAGCAACTACCAATCGCTCTCCTCAACATGAAGTGAGGGAAGAATAGGCAATTTAGAACAGCAGGTTTAGCAACATGTCAAATTGCCTAACAGGTTGCTAATGCAGAAAGATATGCCTTGCTAAGTAGGAGGCAAGGTCTTCTATGTTCATACTCTGACAACCTCTCCTCTCTGCCTCTCGCCTGTCAGTTTTAGTATTTCTAGGTCTATGGTAGAGATTTTCTGAAAGATGAGTCCCATAGGAATGGAGTAAGTCTATGGTGTAAAATGGCAGCTAACAATGAGTGAGTTCCATCCTTGACTAAGGTTTGAAAGGAAATGTCAATGATAGTAGTGAATGAGGAAGGATTCCGGTTCTGGTCTCACAGCAGCCAGCAGCACCTACTGCTATTCAAGCTGGGAGGGAGTAATTTCTCCCCACCAAAATAAAAATAATGGCCACCATGTGAAACCCTTTCTGGCAGAAGTAGTGAAAAATCTGTAGTGCACCCAATGGGGTGAGCTGGTAAACTTAAGTTTTTCCTTCCCAGTTTCATTTTTTTCTGTGTAGCATAACGTTAGTACTCACTCAAGGAAGTGCTAGTTCTGATATTTAAATCATTAGTTTAGCACTCTTTCCAAATTGACAGGTGAAAGTCATTGCTTTTAACTTTTGGAGACTGTAGTGAATTGTTTTGGCAGAAATAGGAAATCTGGGTGGCAACAGTTTATGGTTACAAATCTCTAAGGGGAGAGGATGGATGAAAAGCAGGGCAAAAGTGGACTCTAGTCACCCATATATCCATCAATGGAGAACTTACTTGGCACCATATTTCTGCTGCTTGGCTGAAGTCACTTCACAAAAATATCATTCCAAGTGCTTTGGAATAGCGACAGAAGCAAACATAGGGCTGGCAAAGTCTCATTTATAAAATGGGAAAGAAGGCTTCTAAGCCACCTGAGTTTTCTGTTAGCATTTAATCATAAAATTAAGCACCCCAGTTTTGCCAAATGGAAGTGCTAATTTA